AACCTGCACTATGACAGTTTACAAGTGCTAAGGTAACGTCAGGAAATTACCCTATATAGTCTAAAAGGGGGAGAAAACTTCATCTTCAGAAATTGCTCACCGTTTTCCATGAAAACTCATAAATAATATACCCCTTGTTTAGCAAATAATCAAGAAATAACTAGATGTATCCTTAGTTGAGCAGTCCATGCTACTGTTCTGCCTATGGAATAGCCATTCTTTATTCCTTGACTTTCTTAATAAACTTGCTTTCACTTTACTCCATGGACTCACCCCAATTCTTTCTTGCATGAGAGCTAAGAACCCTCTTTTTTATTTATTTATTTATTTATTGCATTTTAGGTTTTGGGGTACATGTGAAGAACATGCAAGATAGTTGCATAGGTACACACGTGGCAGTGTGATTACTGCCTTCCTCCCCTTCACCTATATCTGGCATTTCTCCCCATGCTATCTCTCCCCAATTCCCCACCCCCCGCTGTCCCTCCCCTATTCCCCTCAACAGACCCCAGTGTGTAGGGCTCCCCTCCCTGTGTCCATGTGTTCTCATTGTTCACCTATGAGTGAGAACATGCGGTATTTCATTTTCTGTTCTTGTGTCAGCTTGCTGAGAATGATGGTAACCAGGATCATCCATGTCCCTACAAAGGACATGAACTCATCATTTTTGATGGCTGCTCAATATTCCATGGTGTATATGTGCCACATTTTCCCTGTCCAGTCTATCATCGATGAGCATTTGGATTGGTTCCAGGTCTTTGCTATTGTAAACAGTGCTGCAATGAACATTCGTGTGCATGTGTCCTTATAGTAAAACGATTTATAATACTTTGGATATATACCCAGTAATGGAATTGCTGGGTCAAATGGAATTTCTATTTCTAGGTCCTTGAGGAATCGCCACACTGTCTTCCACAATGGTTGAACTAATTTACACTCCCACCAACAGTATTAACAGTGTTCCTATTTCTCCACACCTATTGTCTCCAGATTTTTTAATGATCGCCATTCTAACTGGTGTGAGATGGTTTCTCAATGTAGTTTTGATTTGCATTTCTCTGATGACCAGTGATGATGAGCATTTTTTTCATATGTTTGTTGGCCTCATATATGTCTTCTTTTGTAAAGTGTCTGTTCATATCCTTTGCCCATTTTTGAATGGGCTTGTTTTTTTGTTGTAAATCTGTTTTAGTTCTTTGTAAATTCTGGATATTAGCCCTTTATCAGATGGGTAAACTGCAAAAATTTTTTCCCATTCTGTTGGTTGCCGATTCACTCTAATGACTGTTTCTTTTGCCGTGCAGAAGCTGTGGAGTTTGATTAGGTCCCATTTGTCTATTTTGACTTTTGTTGCCAATGATTTTGGTGTTTTGGTCATGAAGTCCTTGCCTACTCCTATGTCCTGAATGGTTTTGCCTAGATTTTCTTCTAGGGTTTTTATGGTGTTAGGTCTTAGGTTTAAGTCTTTAATCCATCTGGAGTTAATTTTAGTGTAAGGTGTCAGGAAGGGGTCCAGTTTCTGCTTTCTGCACGTGGCTAGCCAGTTTTCCCAACACCATTTATTAAACAGGGAATCTTCCCCATTGCTTGTTTTTGTCAGGTTCATCAAAGATCAGACAGTTGTAGATATATTGTGTTGCCTCCGAGGCCTCTGTTCTGTTCCATTGGTCTATATCTCTGTTTTATGTACCAGTACCACGCTGTTTTAATTACTGTAGCCTTGTAGTATAGTTTGAAGTCTGGTAGTGTGATGACTCCTGCTGTGTTCTTTTTGCTTAGAATTAACTTGGCTATGCTGGCTCTCTTTTGGTTCCATATAAAGTTTAAGGTGGTTTTTTCCAGTTCTGTGAAGAAGGTCGTTGGTAGCTTGATGGGGATAGCATTGAATCTGTAAATTACTTTGGGCAGTATGGCCATTTTCACGATATTGATTCTTCCTAACCCTGAACATGGAATGTTTCTCCATCTGTTTGTGTCCTCTCTTATTTCGTTGAGCAGTGGTTTCTAGTTCTCCTTGAAGAGGTCCTTTACATTCCTTGTTAGTTGTATTCCTAGGTATTTTATTCTCTTTGTAGTAATTGTGAAAGGCAATTCATTCTTGATTTGGCTCTCTTTAAGTCTGTTATTGGTGTATAGGAATGCTTGTGATTTTTGCACACTGATTTTGTATGCTGAGACTTTGCTGAAGTTGCTTAACAGTTTCAGGAGATTCGAGGCTGAGACGATGGGATCTTCTAGATAAACTATCACGTCGTCTGCAAGTAGAGACAATTTGGCTTCCCCCTTTCCTATTTGAATACACTTTATTTCTTTTTCTTCCCTGATTGCTCTGGCTAGAACCCTTCCTTGAAGTCTGAATCAGGACCTCTTTCTGATAGAAAAACTATACAAAACAGTACTTCATAAAACTCAAAATAAGAAAATGTATGTGAAAACATTTTGTAAATTATAATGCATTATATAACATATTCCATTATTCAAAAACTATTTTTGTAATGCATATTATATGCTGGCACTATGTTATGAAATAAGGATAAATCAATCATTGGTGTTTATAGTTTGGTATGGAAAACAAACATTAAATAGATCATTATTTAATTATCAATGTAAACAAATTATTTGTCAATAATGAAAATGTTTGAGAAAATATTAATATTTTGAGACACAAAGCAATATAGTAAAAATGAATGACTATAAAAATTAAATCAAGTAAATGACAATGAGGGCATAGAGAGTTTAAAGGTAAAGCCTTAACAACCCATTATCTATACTTGAGGGTACTGGATTCCTGCTATGGAAAAATTAGTTAAGAAAATAATCTCAAACCCTCCTAAATTACTATCAAGCAAGTCGAGTATTTTTCTAGTATATAGAATTTGTAAGGTCCAGAAATCAGATTCAGTATAAAGGGCAATTGAATAGGGGAAATATATTCAATGATCTTTCCAAGCACCTTTGAGAAGTGGTCCTAACCTTTCCCTTCTAGCTTTCAACAACACATTATGTTTTGCAAGTTATTAATCAAAGCATACTGCCTTTTATTAAATCTGACTGGTAATAGACGTTTTTCTTAATCAAGCCCACACTGCAGCTTAAACCACCATTAGGCCAAAATTTATTCTCCTGGGTGGGAGGCAAACTCATCAGAAGGATCTCGAGGAGGATGATTTTATCTTTGGGGGAGGATTTCAAAGCTTTCCCAAGCAGGCGGTGAATAGGGACTCTGTCTGCCTTCCCAGAAATAGACAGCAGGCTAGAAGAGTCCAATGCTACCCATCTGCTTTTGGTGACAAATTGGTGGTTTGCTCATAAACTTGAAAATCCAGCCAAACCAGTGTAGGGTTGGATCACAGGCTCATTTTTGGCTCTGTTCTGGGCCCTTTTAAAATGAAAAATGTGTACTCTTTTTTCTGCTCAATACTTTAAAATGTATGATTTCCTCAAAGAAGTTTCCATAAGCACTTTAAGAAAAAAGAGCTTTGTTTTTCAGAATTCACCCTTTAGAAAGAGACCAAATTTCCAATATGAAAAGGAAATTTACCCTTGCCATTCCTATGTCTCATTTACTGCAGAAGTCAGACCTACAAATCTGGGTTAGCCAGACCTTAGCAGGTGATGGGACAGCATACACAGCTTTATTTAGTTGAACATCTTGAATCCCTCTTGGGACAGGCTATCCTTCAAAAGCAATCCCCCAAAGCTGGGCATGGTGGCGCCTGCCTGTAATCCCACCTACCTGGGAGGCTAATGTGGGAAGATCACTTGAGGACCGTTGGAGTATATAGTATTCTATTGTCATGCCTGTGAATAGCCACTGCATTCTAGCCTGGGCAACATAGCAAGACCTCATCTCTAAAAATCAAAATAACATGTAATTTAAAACAAATCTTCAAATAGGCCACTTAACCATCATCTCTTTCTACTTTTCTTTATACTTTGTTGTTCCTAGTTCCCTTTCCTCTCTCCACACTGGTTTTTTCCAGGAATTTCATTATGTATCTTGAAGTTTGAGACACCCTAAGGGATTCCCCACACACAGTCATCTGTATATTTTCATGCCTAGACTCACACGCATTGGTCTTCCCTTATGTTTGTATCACTCCTTCATCTGTGTTGGAAAATGCCTTCAAAATGAAGACCCTCCAGGTCTGCTCCCATAGATAGGGATGAGGACAAGCAGAAAGAGCTCAGGAAGACAATTGGGGGGGAGTGCAGATTGAAGACTATGATAGGCTGGACTCCCTGGGGAATTCAGACTCTAATTCAGAGATTTGCTTGCGGGAAGCTTATTGGTTAGAATGCTCAGGATCAAAACTTATAGAGGAGTGAAGGAAGAAAGACTGGGCAGAGGGAAAAGCTGGACAGCCACAACAAAAGAGCTGAAGTGGCCCTGCACAGTCATCCCAAATTGTCATGAGGAGCCGTGTCTTTGATCGTCACTTTGCATTTGAGTAGTCAACGGATACAGGATGCCCCAGGAAAGGCTTTATTGGTAGAGGCAGTTCTCTTCAGTGGAGGACAGTCTTCCGAAGGGAACTCAGCCACCCATCCTCTTGGCAGCTGGAGGAACGAGTATTTAAGTCTTGAAAAAGGAAGTCTGGGCAACACACCACAGTATCTTCTAAAAAGACTAAGGACCATCCTGTCATTTTTATAACTTCCTCCCAAGCAGCAGGGAGATCAGGGTCATTGTTAACAAGCGGAATAGGGAGGATCAGTCAGCATCCTACGAGGAACCAGATGACACACCCAAGACAGGGCAAAAAGTTTAATTATAATGGAGCTATTTGAAAAAACATAAGTCAGATACAGAAAAGAGCAAGATAGTCACATAGCCATTACTACTACTAGGCCAGAGGAGCAAGAGAAAGGACAGAAGGCTGAAACCCAGAAGACAAATACAATGTAAAGAAAGCCACGTTGAAAGGAGACCTTCAGCTGAGGTCACAGCCAATTCAAGGTCCTCACAAAGAGGGAAAATGGGAACTGAATATACCAACCTTGCTTTCTTGCCAGGGCTCCCAGTTGGCCCAACCTCATCAAACAAGGGAATGGATTGCTATAGTTCACACAGGTCTCAGCTTCCTGGAACAGACAGCAAGAAGATAAGAGTAGAGAATGAATCCAGAGGCACAAATAGAAGCTATCTGACATAGAATTAAAGGGACATTTACTGCTCAAAACTTTCAGCTTCCATGCTTGCTCCCACTTCCAGCAATCTACATACAAGGGAATGAAGGTCAATCTGTCTCCACAATTGAGACCACACCCTAGAGAACAAATTCATAATGCTAAGTGCAGTAGGTGGAGAGTGAATGCATGTTCTGAGACTAGGGAGGTCCCGCCTATGTGGAAAACTCTTCAAGCCTTTGAAATGCCCTAGTAATGAAAGTCAGCGACTTGGCGTATTTAGGAAAAGGGGGAATAAGAAAGAAAAAGAGCGTAGCAGTGATGAGAAGGTAATTCCCTGGAACATACTGGTCACCTAAGAGTCTTCACCAAAAACAATAATAAGTTTGAGCTCTATAGATACTAAGTTACAGCCAATGTAACCCTGATACATGTATCTTTAAAAAATCTGTAAGTGATCTTGATACACAATCACAGTTAAGAACCATTGTCATAGTCCCAGAATGGACAGGCTTATGGCAGATAGACTCCTAGAAAATACAGAAAGAAGAAATTCCCAAGCCAAAGTAGGACATTCTGACACTGCTCCTTAGCCGCTGACTGGTCTAAAGAGTATGAGGGCATAAAGTACTTGAAGAGTGTTTTCTAAAAACTAATACCAAGCAGTTTGACCATAAAAATAAACCACTTTCTCTTTCTGATTTTATTAATGTTCAGTATCCCTACTGGGCTAACTACAGTTATACACTTTGTATAAGTATGAGCCGAAGTATATAAAGAATAGAAGACAACTGAGAGTTTTCTCAAAATACAACCCTAGTGTGTGGTAAACCAGATATGTCAAAACTGAATACAAATTTGCCACTATAAACATCTATGGCAGGTCTTAGAAGACATTCAGAAAACGACACCCTCAATTCACCTCACAACTACTCCACTCTTAACTCCAGTCTGTACACAGCTCTTGAGCCAAACTGCTGCTGGAGCTCATGATGACCCAGGTGTAAAAAAGACCTCGGACTCTGAAGAAAATTAAGCAGAGAAAACTGGGGCTGGCATTTCTCCCTGGAGAGTTGGCCTAAAGAAATCTAGATAGAAGCTAAAGGAATGGAGTGAGTCCTCATCCCTGAGGCTGGAAGGTTAGACCTGGGAGAAAAGACACTCCAGCAGCCTCCTCTCTAACAGTGTAGCATGGCATACCTACAACCAGACCTGAGCCTCAGGGAGCCCACAAAGTGGAACGGTCATCTGACAGTGTCCAGCATCCAGAGAATGGAAGATGTATGAGGACAAGGCATGTATATAAGTCTTTACAATCAATGGAAAAGAACTAAATTCTCCCATTTAAAAAATAGAGACCACAGGAGTTTGAGACCAGCCTGAGCAACATAGTAAAACCCCATCTCTACAAATACTACAAAAAATTAGCCAAGTACAGGGACATATGCCTGTAGTCCCAGCTACCTAGAAGGCTGAGGTAGGAGGATCGCCTGAGGACAGGAAGTCAAGGCTGCAGTGAGATGCGATCATGCCACTGCACCCCAGCTTGGGTGACAGAGTGAGATCCTGTCTCAAAAACAAACAAACAACAACAAACCAAGAAAAGAGGCTGACAGGTTAAGCTAAAATACAAAAATAAAGCTATATTCTATTTATAAGAAACATACTTTTAAAAATAATAAAGAAGGATTGGCAATAAAGCCGAAGGCAAAAAATACAAGGCAAATATCAAGAAAAAGAAACTAGAAGTTGAAAGAAAAATGTCACACAAGTAGAATTTAAAGATAAGAATATTAAAAAGAATGAATAAGAACATTAGGTTAACAAAGGTACAACTTATGAAAAAGATAAAATAGTGATAAACCTATATACATCACAAAATATAAGTTAAATGTGTAATAGAAATCTAGCAATCATACAATGAATAATACACTATGAGTAAGGAAGATATTCCAGAAACACAAGAGTAGCTCACTACTGGCAATAACTTTAACCCATCCAAATTCCACTTCATATCTCCTACTCTCTGACCACCACCTCCTCTCTTTCCAGGTAACTCTCTTTGGTATCCAACTTTTATCACTTTCCCTCAACAGGATCTCCAGTCAACTGATCATACAATTTTGCCACCAGGCCTCACTCCTCTCCCAGCTTTACTCCGAGAGTGGTAAGAATCATGCCCTTGCATACACCTTCGACAATTCTTGTCCCAATTTTGTCCTTTCTTTGGAAACTGCACCTCTGACTAAATCCACTTCAACTTTTATACCTTCAACCACATATCTGAATTTGACTAAGGAAAAACACACAGCCACACCGACTGGTCTTACTTTAAGTCTGTTTGTGGTTGAACCTCAGGTGGCCCCTTAACATTAATCAGTAATTGCACTTCCCTCGTGCTTTCACTTTCCCACTTCAGACCTCCTCTCTCCTTAAGCCTCACCCATCCTTCTGTTCAGCTGATGATCTTATTTCCCACTTCACTAAGAAAGTTGAACGACCAAAAGAAAATTTCTATCAGCATCTATTGAAATCCGTACTCATGTACTCCACTTTCCTGCCTTTTACTGAAGAGGAGCAATTGATGTTCCCATCTAGTATCTTTACTTGTGAACTAGATAAAAACGTAAATTATACACAGTTTCCAATTCCTCTTCTTCCATTCTCAATGTTTTTCTTTGCAACTATTTAGAAAATGTCAAGCTCATTGAAGCAGCATAGAATAACAAAATGCTGCTTTTGTTATGATGTATATAGGTTTGTATATAGGTTTACAATATAAAACCTATATACTATATAGGTTTACAATATAAAACCTATATACTATATAGGTTTACAATATACAAATCTAAATCTATATACAAACCTATATACAATAGGTTTGTATATAGATTTAAGTCCAGGTTTATCACTATTTTATCTTTTTCATAAGTTGTACCTTTGTTAACCTAATGTTCTTATTCATTCTTTTTAATATTCTTATCTTTAAATTCTACTTGTGTGACATTTTTCTTACAACTTCTAGTTTCTTTTTCTTGAAATTTGCCTTGTATTTTTTGCCTTCGGCTTTATTGCCAAATCCATATATCCTCCATCTACATATATTATTAATATTTTGCCACATTTTCATATGTCTTTAGTCTTTATAAACAAATACATATTTTATATACACATATATATGTATTTATGTGTGTAGTATATGCAAACACAAATATACATTCTTTTGGAGGAACCATTTCAGTCAATTACAAACATTATGTCATTCCTTAAGTGCTTAAGTATGTATATCCTACAAATAGGACAGTAATACAGTAATCACTATCATAAAATTTAACATTGCTACAATATTATTTATAGTCGCTATTTAAATTTCTCTATTTTCCCCAAAAATGTCCTTTATAGATTTTTTGATTACTGTTGGTGATAGTGATGACAATATCAGTGATGGTGATAGTGATGGTGGTATTTAAATCCAGGACTCGATTGAGAACCATGCATTATATTTAATTGTCATCCTCAAAGTTTGCATTAAATATGACCTAATCAAGCCTTCACCTCAAACATTCCACTCCATTGGCGACCTCTTGTCAAGATCATCAATGACTCTCATGTCCCTAAATCCAACATCCACTTACTTTGCCTGTAAGCAACACTGACATGGCTGATCATTCTTCCTCTTTGAAATACATACTGTATTCACTTAGCTCCAAAAAACTATAATCTTCTAGTTTTTCTCAGTAATCTAGCCATTCTTTGTCACTCCCCGGTATCTTAATATTCATCCTTTTTTTTTCCCTTCATCTGCACTCGATTAGTGATCTCAAACATTATTATGGCTTTAAATAGTATATGCCAATGACTCCCAGTTTTATAGATCTAGCCCAGACCTCTCATTTCAATTCCAGACTCACATATCCAACTGTTTTGGACAGAGAATTTCATAAAAAAATTATGAAAGGAAAGAAATACAGGGAAGAAGTCTCTTCCTTTATTTTTACAGAGAGAAGTAAGCTTCTTACTTTTAATTTGCATTTCTCCTTACATTGGTTCTTGAGTAAAAATACTTCTTGTTATTAAAAAATTAATCTCTCCCAAATGAATATATAATGTAAAGCAATTCCAATTTGAATCTCCAAAGCTGGGGTTATTCTGGAATTTGATAACTATTAAAGTTTATATAGATTTATGAATGCCTACGAAGAACATAAATGAGCGTGGAAGAGAAGAGAACACAGATACAGAGCACACTATTAAACCAATATAATCAGATCAACTTGATAATGGTAGAAATAGACACATTAATCACAACAACAGAACAGTAAATACAGAAATAGATCCCAGTACAAATAAGAGGTAAAAATAGAATCAAGGCATGGGAAGGTGTGGATTATTTAATTAATGCTGCTGCCATAACTGGCCAAATATCCAGAAGAAAATAAAATTGGTCCTCTATACAACATACAAAGCTGAATTTCATATGGATTAATGGCTTAAACATATGTTGCAAAACACAATCTTGCAAGAAAAGCTAGTCTAAGTCATCTAAGTCAGCATAGGACTGGATGACGCCATTTTAACAAGACTGGAAACTCAGAAAGAGAGAGACCATTTGTTCACCAAACTGAACACATTCAGGCTAATGTCCATAGTTTTTTTATTTAAAAAAAGCTCTTCCAAATTGTCCGGAAGACAAACTAAATAAAAAACAGGCAAAGGATATATAGATAATCCAGAAAAGAACATCAAAATAGCCATAAAACATGTGGAAATAGGTACAAATTCATTAGGAAGAGCAAGAAAATAACACTTAAAATTTATCAGACAAAAAATTAAAAACAACAGTAATACCTATTATTGGCTGAGATGAGGAGAAAATGGGAGGACATGGAAATGGGAAATATTATAGCCTTACTCCATGAATTAGATTAAGGTTACTGGTTAAATAACTTTAACCT